TAGATTTTTTTGGATTTTTGGATCATAAGTGCCAAGATTAGCCCCCTGGCGGAGAATGATTCAACTATATTTTGATAGATTCTCATTGCCCAAGAAATGCTCTTTTTAACCATACCATATTTATTAAAATCGGTCAAACGGTTAAGAAGGTTTTTGCAAAAACAATTGACGCCCCACACCATCTTTGATTTTGAAATAACTGAGTTTTTGTTTTTACGAAAATGATAGATAAACTGGTTCTCTTTAAAAACGTGAAAAAAATGTTTAGTTTATTATGCATAATTTAAAGAAAATCCAATTTCAAAATTTAAGATGGCAGTTTCGCCCTCTGTTGGACAATTTTAGAACTTGAAAATATTTTCCAGTGATTCTTCATAACCGATTTACCCAATAATTTTTTTTTACCCCTAGGTCATATGACGAACACGGTTCTCGAGATATGGCCGAGGAACAGTCTTATTGGCTCACCCGGTACTATGAGATAAAAAACGAGTTGCTGTCGAGTCACCTTTGGAACTTTTGTTTACATGGGAAATCGTTCTTAACTTGAACTTCCAAAGGCAACCCGACCACCACTCATTTTTAATCGTCCCTTGTATCATTATATTGGCTGAGGGATATACCCCCCAGAGCCCTTTCTTGACAAATGTTCCATACCTTCAAATGTCCCTTCTCGAAACGCATAGGGCTAGTAGTAAAAGGCACTAATCATTTTGGTTCAAAATATAGAACCGTGGCCCGAGGGGTATGGAATACCCCCCCCCCCCCCCCAGTACACGAATGATATCAAGATAATGATTGTAGAGAAAGAGGGTTATCAAGTGTTTCTTTACTGGGGAGTATTATTATGTTTGGCTGGGGGATACTCCAAACCCCCCACACCTCTCGATTTTCTATTTTCAATAAAAATGAGTATGGCCATTTTTGTGGTGCCAATAGGTAGTCCTTTCCTTGTTTAGGGCATTTTTTAAGAATGAAATAAAAATTTGCTGTGGCTAAGCACAGATTTTGCCCTTTTCTGCCCATGAATATGTGTACCAAATTTGCTGTCAATCGACTACTGTTGCTTCAAAATGTGTTTTCGTAAAAAAAGTGAGGGGGGGGGGTCATTTTTTACCCCAATGTGCTATTGTTTGCGTTTTATCCGCTAACACGTTTCTTTATGAAGCAGGTATCAGCTCCAACTTACCGCTTCAGGATGTCATCTCCAATCAGCGCCCCAATCGGAGTGTTCGGAGGTCCAGAAGAGCTCAGCGCCAAGCTCGGGGCTAACGCCTCCCCGGTGAGTTACCTGATTCATTGGCGACGATCGCGGTTAAGCAGTCACGATGTTTGTTTACATGAGCCTCGAGCGCGAAAGACCACCAATCAAACTGGAGTGCTGCCATGCCACCCCTTATGATCGTACGCGTAGATTACAGAGGGACAGGGCCGCCGTTAGCCTCGACGGGCCTCGGGAATATTTTTTGATCGGGCCCCTATAATTGAAATTTTGGTTGTCCATCACCCTTATCTTAAACTAGACATTTTCAATCTTGACTACTTAGACTTGGAAAGGAGAACATTTGAATAATTTTCATACAGACACGGCAATTTTCATAATTTATTACGAATTCTTAGAATTCAAATAAACAAATTACAATTTAACTCTGTGGATTTTCTATTAGCAAAAGTGAATATCACTCGCTCAAAATTAATTTCTCTATAGCAAGTTGAGCTTCAAGAGCTAATGTACAGAGATTGATCTAACGATCTTGCGAGCCTTCTGCCACTGTACCGTAATTAGGAAATTTTGCTCAATGGTATGTGGTTTTTTAAATCTTCTGCTGTGCATTTTTTTATATTCTACTCTCTCATATTCAGATTTCTGTTAAAAATCAGGTTTCAAAATCTCTTTTGGCCGGGCCCCCAGAATATGACCGGGCCCCAGGGCGACACCCCTTATCGGCGGCCCTGCAGACGGACGTTTCTAATGAAAGGTGAGTTTACAGTAGATTTTCCGCATCTTAATAATGAGTTCTGATCAACAATTAGCTCCCATCCAGCTAGCTACTTCCTTTGTAGCCCTATCATTACAGTAGTTTATAATAATAACAAGAATCAATTTTGAAATGGCTGGCTGGCTGGCTGTGCGGCTGAGATCTCAGCAATTACAATAGGCTAGAAACTTCAAAATTTCACTTTCTGCTATGGTGTAGATGTGCAGGTTCTAGTCTAAATGAGTTTTCTGAGCTGGTCACCGTGCTGGTGACGTAAAATTGCGTGCAAGCTAACGAAAGTTTTTCACTTTTTAGCTAAGATGGAGATACCACCTCGACCTTAGATACAAAGCCCGTTTTCCAGTACCTCGCGAACTTAACACTTGACATGCACTCGGTAAAGGGAATGAGGTGAGCTATTGTTTTTGATATGTATAAGCGGAAATATTTATGTTAATTTTAGGCACGAACTTATGTTGATTTTCTTTGTTTCAGAAGTTGGGGAAACTTTTCCACGCCTCTCAACCCCTCTATCACATCGCGGTTCTTCTCAGGCGAGACTTTCTTAATAAGGCTCGAGGGTAAGTTTTCAGTGTTCGCCTAACTACCACATTTGCTCATTTAGTTTTATGTCGTGTTACTCTATCCCCTACCCCCTTCAGTTTAAGTAAATGTCGCTGTTCTTCGCGGTTTTGACGTAATTTTTTTTGTTTCAGATTTCAGAAGAGCAGCCTTATAAAGGTAGGATTTTTTTATTATGCATGGGGGCGGCCTCCGTCACTTTACATCCATACTGTATGACTATGATTTCATAGCCATACAATTTGTATGAGATGTACCGGTTTTTCTTGCGGATTTTTAATATACAGGGTGATTCCTATAGTACCTGCCACCGTTTGGGAGCGTATAGGGGGTGCCTAGGGGAGTATTTTGATATAGGACACTTGGGGTCGGAAATCTAAAACAAGGGCGCCAGAACCAAATTTATCTTCTGGAATTTCACGCCTGTATGTAGGCAACCCAACCGACCGACGTTTCGCGCGGAGCGATGCAGAGCGAGTTAGCGCGAGGAAGCGACATGGGAGGGAAGGAGGGAAAACGACAGTCAAAAGCAATAACGTTTACAAGTGTTCAACGTGGCCACCGTTGTTCTCAATGCACTTCCTACATCTAGCCAACTATTATTATACTATTGCCATAGTGTTTATTCACTTGATTCGCGTCGTTGCAGACGGGATTTCGTGGGTTTAAACAAAATTCTGATCAAGTGTCAGCCACACATCGCCGCCTGAGATCGCTCCGTGTGCACCGCCGGCCGGTTGGGTTGCCTACCTACAGGCGCGAAATTCCAGAAGGTAATTTGGCTCTGGCACCCTTATTTTAGATTTCCGACCCCAAGTGTCCTATATCAAAATACTCCCCTACGCACCACCTACACGCTCCCAAACGGTGGCAGGTACTATAGGAATCACCCTGTATATCCTTCGAATTGGAAAGAACGCGAGACATACACCTCTTTTTATATATGACAGATTTATTTATTTCTTATTGAACATATAAACCATAGTAACTATTTCACAACCCACTACTAATTACTGTTAATATACAACAATTTTATTATATTACAAACTATCAGACCCGGTCCCGGATGGGAAATAAGCTCGTTTTCGGCGGCTGCGCCGCCTCATCTCTCTCGACTTTACATCAGAAATATTCACGGACATACACTTACTTTAACCTAACTTAGGCCCAGTCTTTCCTTCCCTCGATAAGTTTATTTGGCAACCTTGACAACGATTGGACCAATAATGGTGCCCGTGGAATTTATTCGGAGTTATTGAGTAGTGGAAAAACTAGGCTTTATAATAATGAGATAATTGAAAAATATAAATAATCCTAGGAATTAGTTATACAGGGTGTGGGCCTTATGGTTGTAAATCCTAATGTTCACCCAAGAAAACTTACCTACACAAAGTAAATTCGGTCGGGGATTATCTTATCTTATAACTCAAACTCGGTACGTTACCGATAATTCAAAGATAGTTATTGTAAGCGCTTCTGTAAAGTAGTATATAGGTACACGTCATTATTCTGCTTCTCCTCGTTACTCTTGGAGATATTTCCTTAATTTTGGCGTTCGCTTTAAAGTTATTCTGAATGAACACTACTAGAAAATATCTTAAAAATATTTGCAATTAGGTATCTTAAAAACTCTTTACATGAACACTTTTTTCCAACTTTAATAGGACGTTCCTCTGCAAACGACTAAGAAAACGTTTCGGCAGAAATTATCCGAGTCGTATTAGCATGTAGAACATTTCTCCCTTGATGTTGGGTACCGAAAGGACACATTTATGTCTCTGTTGTAACAGATTTTTGATTTAATACTCGAATTTTGCATAAATAATTGATATTTTTAGTATTTTCGGGTGCCGTAATTATCGATATTTAAAGACGCGGAAAAAAAGTTTTAGAATCCAACGTAGGTAACTGATATGTTGCTAATTAATACCGTTTTCGAAAACATTGCTATAAAAGCCGAACCGAAAGTGCACGTGAAGCCTTTTAAGTCCTCTTTCTCCTCTTCTTTAGCGTTTACTACGAATAAGTGTTTCTCGATGTCTTCTAGTCATTTATTTACGTTATTCTGATTCCTGAACAATTTTTAGTAATCTTTCTAGACTTCTTCAGCTTCTAATGATAAAAATATCTCGAGTTCGTCTGGTCAATTGTTTAGTTCTTCAGATTTTGTCTTTTTTCATCTCCTTGTCCTGCCTCTTCTCTTTGAATATAAAAATTTTATATTCAAAGCTCTTCTTCAGCTTTCGGGAATATTTCTATTGCTATCTAGTAGTGTTGTTGATAGTTATAAATTCAATGCTCTAACCAAAGAGTATGGATACTCTTTGCTCTAACTTTAAAATTTTCGAAATCATGACGCCCTCTTACGGTGGAATGTTTACAGTTTAAGTGACCACTCAGAAGTTTGCTTTTGTGAAGTCGTTAGGGATTTTTGTTTTTCACTGCAACAAATACAAATAGTTCAAAAATCACCGCTAGGGGCTGTCTTTTTTTGTACCTTCTTTAATAATTAATTAATTTCTGAATATTGAGAAAATAATGGGAGACCTACAGAAGAAAATAGAAAACGAAGTGGTATTATTGAAAGGCACCCAGAAAGGTAAATCTCTTTCTACTTTCTCGAATCCTAACCTCCCTTTTTTGAAGAATACCAAAAGGCCATCTCCACAAGACAGCAGCTAGACGCACAATTAAACGAAAATCAGGTCGTGAAAGACGAACTGAACCTCATCTCGATCGAGCGAAGGATCTACAAGGCGATCGGACCCGCTCTCATCAAAATGGAAATAGTCGAAGCGAAACAGAACGTCGCGAAACGCATCGACTACATCAGCAAGGAAATCAAACGATTCGACGATATCATAATGAACCTCGAGAAGAAGCAGGACGGCCACCGTGAAACTCTGCACAAGCTGCAACAGGATAAGATGAAATCTGCGATGAAACCTTAAACCGTTTTGATAAATAAAGCGAGAACATTCGTGTTTGTATTCATTAAGTAACACGCAATCAGCATGACTAATGCGTTACGACATAACGACCGGGGAAATTTCTTCATCTTAATTATTTATTAATAGTGTTTATGGAAATGGATCTTCGAACTGTAGATAACAGATAATTCAATTTAAACGCCCGACGGGTTATCATTTTTCTACTGTAGTAGTTTCAGTTATGTGCTTTTGAGAACACGTCTCTCTCTGCTTTCGTCTGCGTAAAAGTAAGTGCCTCACGTTTACGACATTCTCATTAATGGTAGCACAACAGCCTGACAGAGGTTTATTGGTATTTTGTCGATTTGTTTAACGTATTTTTCTCGTGTATCTTATGTAAACATGGTCAATTTCGTACGGTGCCACTTGATAAAGCAATATCAAAGTGCAAGATTCATTACGAATGTACTTAAAAATAATTATAACTTTAAGGGGGTTTTCCTCTTTTAAATTTCTTTCTGGGGGTCCCAGTGGTATTTTTGTTTGGGTTGGAAAAATCACACGTTTCCTAAACCTACTCAAGGTGTAAAGAAAGCAATATCCAGAACTTAATTTCTGCAAATAAAGTGAATTTCTGGAGTAGATTCTAAAAATGAGCCTATTTTTAAAACATTTGGTGGTGGGAGTCTTTTACTGGAAGGTGAAGTCTATACAATCAGTAAGTCACTAGATTCGGGATTGAAAAGTGTGAAGCTTTCCTCACTCTCATTTTGGTACTACATTCTCCACACAAACGTGTACCTAGGTGCTTCAGGAAATTCTTTTGTTAATGGGAATTATATGTCCCCAGATCTCGCTGTTCTACGTTGATCTCGAAAATTCTAGGGCTCTTGGAGCATTACATCAAAATCCTGGAAGGTCTGGAAAGGTTTCCATGGTTGCTACTACTAGATGGTCCTCGTTTGCGCCCTTCTATTTCTCCCTCTCGCGTAAATTCTGGGAATCGTACATTTCAGCGTGAAGTAGAAAACAACAACTCTTGAAATTCTCTACTTATCTAATCTTATATTCAATTTGGATACTGGTCTAGTCTAGGTTCCAAATTCTCTTCTTTATTTGTGTACCACTTTTCCCTTCGCGTCTTTCACTCATCTACTCCAAAATTCATTTACTAATTCCTTTCCTCTTCTCCATTGTCTTCTTCGCTAATGACGTTCCGTGGTCTTAGGTTCCCAATTGTTCCCAATAAGAAATGGTTTTCCCGAGGGTTTTCCGTTTGGGGGTTCATCTATACGTACGTTAAAGGTCTCGAATTTAACATATATTCGATCTCGATAAGAGCTCTGTAGCCAAGACGTCTCAGGGGAACTTTTCCTTTAGTACCTTTTTTAACTGAACGAATTAAACGCTCCCAAGGGTCTCCCATCGAAGTAGGCGCAGCTGGCGGAATAAATTCCCAATGTGTTCCTTGTACAGGGTGGCTAAATAAGAATGCGAGGTACTGTATCTGAGAATCTATCCATCGCAGAAGCTTGCGGTAAAAAAATTTATTACTAAAACGGCCACGAGCAAAACCAAAGTTTCTGAAATGACCGCTAGGGGGCGTAACTGCAATCTGGAATCTAAAGTCACTAGATATATATATATATAGATATAGATAATATATATATATTTAGTGACTTTACTGGAATCTAAAAAAGTGATGTTTCTGTGAATTCCGGTATATTAACCTAACAAAAAAATGTCCGGTTTTTGAAGTTGACGATAATCTGAACAATTTTTGTTTGACAATTTTTCCTGTATCTCTAAAAATGAATTGGTGGGGGGTATTCAAAGGTTTCCGTATCGAACACCCTGTATCTTCGAAACGGCTGAGCTGATTTAAACACTCGCGTTAGTTCAAAAGAGCCTCAGCTACAAATATTATACTATTTGAAGTCTTGTTAGTTTCACATATCACCGCTTGAGGGCTTTTTTCGACATTCCGACAGAAATGGTTTTTTCAAAAAAATTAAATGCATTGGTTCGATTTTTTTCATGAAAAAGTAGCTAAATAATGCCTAAGCAAACTCGCAAAAACAGCATCTCGATATCTTGAGATATATTATCGTGATGGCCAGCATTTACGGCGACATTACCACAAATTATAAAATAAAAATAATTCCGGAAAAATTAGCATAAAAAAAATAAAATTTTGAGGGAATAAAATTTTCTTTGGCCTAAATTTTAGGTTAGGAACAAGATATCGAGGTGCAGTTTTCGCGAGTTTGTTTAAGCATCATTTAGCTACTTTTTTATGAAAAAAAATCAGATCAACGCATTTAATTTTTTTGTGAAAATTAACCATTTCTGTCGGAATGTCGAAAAAAGCCCTCAAGCGGCGATATGTGAAACTAACAAAACTGCAAATATTATAATATTTGTAGCCGAAGAATAACTCTTTTCAATTAACCCGAGTTTGTTCAAATCGGCTCAGTCGTTTCGAAGATACAGGGTGTTCTTTACGGAAACCTTTGAATACCCCCCACCATTTCATTTTTAGAGATACGGGAAAAATTGTCAAAACAAAAAAGGTTCAGATTATCGTCAACTTCAAAGACCGGACATTTTTTTGTTAGGTTAATATAGCGGAATTCACAGAAAAATCACTTTTTTAGATTCCAGTAAAGTCACTAGATATAGAAAGTACCGCAATCATCCGCCATTTTTGGGCAAATTTGCTGCCAATTTAAAAAAATTGACAAATAAAATCTAAATAGCTGTCATTTTTCATAACCTAACTTCATAGTACTGTCATGTTTTATAAAAATATATACAGATATCTCCAAACAGGTGGAACAATCCCTAACATTAAAGTTACTGGAATCTGGTAACTTCCGCCATTTTTGGGCAAAAATCGTGCGTTCTCTCTCTAACACACGAGCCCAATGGATTGCGGTACTCTCTATATTTAGTGACTTTAGATTCCAGATTGCAGTTACGCCCTCTAGCGGCCATTGCAGAAACTTAAAAATATTTTCCAGGTTTTTCTCGTGGCCGTTTTAGTAATAAATTTTTTTACCGCATGGGCAGGTTCCCAAATACAGTACCTCGCATTCTTATTTGGCCACCCTGTACATGCAGATCTTATTGGATGAGGTGGGAAACAGAAACACGGAAACACCCAAGCAATACAAGATTACAACACCTTAATTTTAACGTTAGAAGAAAATACAATCTATAAACATGACATTAAGGGTTACTAACTTGATCTCAACACCCCTAATAAGGCAAAATGCTCCTATTCAAATCTAAGCACTTACACAACTTATCATGTTTTATCGCACATAATTCTTTCGTAAAAATAGCTATATCGATATGGTTAGGTCTTTAATGGTGAATTGGATTCGCTGGTAACTCTGGTTATCACTGTCCCTGGTCCTAGGCTCGCCTATATCTAGAAATTGCAAACTGAAAATTTTCGTGAGCAGTTTTTCGGATGTCGTTGATTTTAGGTAGTCGGGGTGCGGGGTTTCGAGTGATTGTCAACTGAAACAGGTCAGTTGACAGAAACAGACCTATTTTTTTAACTGACCTATTTTTATGTAACCGATCTGTTTCTGTAAAACTGACCTGTTTCCTTTGACAATCCCTCGAAATCCCACACCCCCGACTGCCGTAAACCAACGACACTCGAAAAACTGCTCAGGGCGAGCCTTCCGATTCGGGACGCGCATGCGCACATGACAAAAAAGATCTAAAAATGACCGTAATGGACCTTAGAATTTCTTATGAGAAATAACATTAGATTTTGATCAAAATTGCGCCAGAACTCTCCTAGCCTTATATACTGTGCACGAAATTTTCTGAACTTGCCACCATAAAACTCGCCCTCTACTACAGAAATTCCATCGTTTGGATTCGAGTTTGGATTTTACTCTTCAGAAACTTATTCGTGGCAGTTTTTCTTCTAAATTATCCATTGTCAGCACTTGGTCCAGTCTTCTCTCTGTTTTTATGACACCAATTCTTCAACCTGGTATAATCCGCTTAGATGTCCAACGTAAGCAGGTTCTTTTGCATATTTTTTTTCTATTTTTTATGTCTTCGTGGCCTCCCGTTACATACACCCTTTCCATATCTGCCTTTCCTACAGTTCCCTACATTGTGACCAGCATTCAAACTGAGATAGCAAATGCTTATTTGCAACCTCATTCCGACCTCAAAATATCTACATTAAAATTCCGTAACACCTTGTAGAAAGACAGCTAGCTTTTTAGTGTTTCTCGATATCGTGGTGCTGCTCTAACTAGCAGTTGACGCCTTGGTCCAAATCAATTCCTTTTCCTTCTGCTATGATGACTATTGAAACCACGCGCGATGTAGTATGGCTCGAAGGACCAAATGCTTCCCTACAAGAACGAAATAAAAACCTTTGAGAAAGTAAAGGAAGTGTCTATTTGTCGGCTTTTTTTACCTTGACTACCCCGAATGTCTACTACCCAAGTGTGCAACAGCAAGGGTGACTACTACAATATCGTTGTTAGTTTCCGTCCCTTCCTAATCCTAAAGAGCGCACTTTGAACCTTACTCCAGTAGGTAACGATGTTAATCGGATATGTCGAAAAATCGGTATATTCACCTGATGACTTCCCGCGTTCGCTTTTGACCCCACAGTGGTTCAGGTCTTGGTGTAGTTCTTCTCATTGGCTAGAAATAATGACGTTAGGCAAACAAAGATACCGATTGCTTCAAATGCTTGCAATCTCTAAACGACTTTCTGTTTCTAGGTGTCCAACCCTCAATTCAGATCTCCTCGGGACCGATTTGTAAGTGTCTTCCCCAATTTCAATTTCGCGACTTTAAATTTGTGCACGGACAATAATGGCCGCTCGGTCGCTACTCGGCGCCTTAGCGGCGGCGTGCGTCCTCGGCGGCGTTCTCTGCGAGCCCAAGTGCTATTGGCGCTCGAAAAAGTGCAGCACCCTTTACTGCGTCGAGGTGGACTCCGCCTACCTGACCGCGAACCTCTCGAAACTAAGTTACAGCTACGATAACGACGCGGTTTACTTCCCCGGGCAGATCAAGGAGATTAAGCCGTGCTTGCGTTTCGAGATCGCTCACGCGTCGATCCCGGAGCTGGGCGACGATTCCCTGCCGGTCAGCCATCTCGACATCAAGAAGTTTGTCGAGATAAACTTGCGCAACATCGCCTTGGAGAGTTTAGGGCCGAATGTGTTCGCCGGATTTGTGAATGTGAGAAAATTGTTTTTGGACCACAACAGCATCGAGGCAATTCGCCTGGAGAAGTTGCCAATGATTGAGGAGCTCGATTTGAGTTTTAACAACGTTAAAGCAATAAGTGAGAGTTCGTTGCCTCGGTTACCGTTGAAGATTTTCGATTTTGGCTCGAACCAATTGAGTCGACTCGGACGGGTCACTTGTAACTTCGAGCAGCTACTCGAGCTCAGTCTCGACCACAACAACTTAACCGCGATCGACGAGCTGAAGTGTAACACGATGCTTGTGAGCTTGAATTTGGGTTTCAACCGGATCGAGTCCGTGAGCAATGAGACTTTTCGTTCCGAGGCCCTTGAGAGTCTCTATCTGAACGACAACGAACTGAGCAACTTGGAGGTGGGGGTGTTTAACAACTCGGGAAATCTCCGCCATTTGTACCTGCACAATAACAAGTTCACTCAATTAAACGGTGATGGTTTCCGAGGCTTGAGCAACCTCGGGGTTCTCACGTTGGACAATAATAATATTAGCGAAATATTTCCTCGGACGTTTGCCGATTTGAAGCGGTTGACTCGGTTGAGTATCGTCGGTAATCCTCTGCGTGTGCTGCTCGAGGAGACATTTTGGGGCCTGGAGAGCTTGAGGTACTTGGATCTGAGCGGTATGCCAATCGTTTATGTGCGGAATGATGCCTTCCTCGGACTGACCCATTTGAATCGCTTGGACCTGTACAGCACGAAACTGAAGGAACTCGATGCGCGTGCTTTTAACGGGTTGCAGAACTTGAAGACGCTTAATTTGTGGAACAGCAGCTTTTACTTGCACCCCATGCTCTTCGAAAAGCTCGCCAGTGTCGACAACTTAATCTTGGGCAAAGCCAAGGGATTCTCAGAATACTTCTTAGAAACCAACAGCTTCTTTGGCTTGGAAAAATTGAAGGCGCTTAACCTCTCGGGTATGGGGGTGAACAGTATCTATCCCGGTTGTTTTCAGGGACTCACAAGCCTGCAGACTCTCTCACTGAGCAACAATAACCTGACCTTTCTGCTGGTGGACGCCTTTATCGGAATGCCTAGCCTGAGAGTGTTGTATCTAACCAACAACAATATCAATGACATTTCACCGAACGCGTTCTACGAGCTTAACCAGCTCGAGCTGATCTACCTCGGCGGGAACAGCATCAAAGAACTAGCGCCGAGTGTTTTCAACGGCTTGAAGAAGATCAGCGTGCTTCAGCTCTCCAATTTGTCAATAGAGGTGGTGCATCCCAGATTCCTGTCGGGCGTAGACAACCTGATGGTCCTAGACCTGAACCAGAACAAGATCAGGGAGCTGAACGAAAGCAGCTTCGTCGGAAGTCCCGAGCTGATCGAACTGAAGCTCGAAGATAACGAGATCACCACGATACAACCGCGTGCCTTCGAGGGGTTAAACAAGCTGTTCTTCCTAAATTTGACCGGGAACAAAATCACGAAGATCGCTAGCGAAACTTTCGTCGGCCTGCGAGTGCTGCGCAAACTGAACTTGGCCGGTTTGGGAGTGACCCAGTTGGCGAGGGGCGCATTCGGCGGATTGGACTCGTTGTTGCACTTGGATTTAAGTGGAAATAATCTCACTGAGCTGTCACCGGACGTTTTCGATAATCTCACCTCCTTGCACTCCTTAGATCTCTCCGCGAATCAACTCAGCCGGATCGAACCGGGCACTTTTAAGAACTTAAAGTACGTCTCCAACTTCCTCATTAATAACAATAACGTTTCGGTCCTAAAACGTAACACCTTCGCCGGATTAACGTCGGTTCACACCTTAATCCTTACGGATATGAATATCAGTGTGATCGAACCGGATGCTTTCGACGGATTAAATATCGTCAACATGATCCGCTTGACCGGAAACCCGATTAAAGCGATTAAGAAGGGCGTCTTCAACGATCTTAGTCACGCGTTCTTCGTCTTTCTGAATTCCGGCCTGAATGAAATAAGCGAGAGTGCTTTCGACGGTTTGAATTCTTTAGCCGTACTCACTGTCAACCGGGCCAACTTCACCAGACTCAAACGCGAGTCGTTTAAAGGCATACGAAATCTGAAAATGCTCACCTTGAAGGATACTCGCATCGGTACCGTGGAGAGTTACGCTTTCAAGGCCGACCAAAACTTGTACATTCTCAATTTGGAAAACACCACCATCGACGCGCTCGAGCAAGAAGCCATACCTCCCTTGGAATACCTCGAAATTGCGCGCAATTTCTCCGGCTACATTCACATGCCCACCCAAATCTACTACAATTTCTCCCACCTGTCCCTCAGAAGAATCGCGCCGAATGCTTTCATCCCGAGCAACAAGTATCGTCCGTCGACCATCGATTTCGATTACAACTTCCTTACGGTCTTAGAAAACGGAACCTTTAACGGCGTAGACGTCCAGACCTTAACGCTGAATCACAACAACATCAACACCATAAGACCGGGTGCCTTCGCCTCGCTGCGCCATCTGAAAAACCTATCGATCACCTTCAACGATCTGAAGACGCTAACGCGCGAAACGTTCCAAGGGCTCGACTCCCTCAGCACGCTCCGTCTCGAGCACAACAACTTAACCTCCTTCGAAGTCGGAAACCTACAAGGGCTCGGTCACCTCAGCCTCGCCTACAACAAACTGAAAGAGCTACCGGCGGACTTTGCCTCCTTAGCCAACCTGACGATCTTGGAGCTGCAATACAACAACCTGAGAAAGTTCAACTACATCTTCCCCTCCCTTGTCGCGTTCACCGTTCAGGGCAACAGTCTCGAAGAGCTCGACACCGTGTACAACTCCACCGCCCTCGCCCTCGTCGACTTTCGCGACAATAACTTCAGCTGCAAGTATCTGTGGCACCTTTTGCACTTTTCCGTGCAGAACCTACTCAAGTTCGCCAAATCCGAGCCGGTGCCCGGAGCGAAGCACTACCACAACATCATCTGCATCGAGGACGACGCGTCCAAGACCGACGGACCGTTGGAGAGCTTCCTGGAGGAGTTCAATCGGACCGGCGCCGATCTCGATCTTCTCCTCGAGAAAAAGGGGAGCTTTCGGGTGGGATTGCAGAACGTCTCGGATCTAATTCAGAACATCACCGATCGACGTCTGATCGCCGAGTACAACCGATCGTTGCACGTCAAGAAGCACTTCGACGAGGTCGGCCAGATCGGGTTCTCCGAAATTTTGCTAGTCATCCTGTGCGCGATTAGTATTGTCGCCCTTTTGGCGAGTTCGTTTAGTTACTGCGTTAATTACGCCAAGAGGAGGAGAAGTCTCGCCACGGCTCAGTCCCAGTTGACTTTAATTAATGATAGATTGTAATGGGGTTCGTTGGTCGGGGATTGTTGGGGTTTGATTAAATAAATTTGTTTGTTTCTTACGTATTACTCATTAGTTTACCAGCTATTTATTATAATTCGCGCACGCGTAATTTACGTCGATATTATGATAGTATCAGTTCTTTTGTCGACATGTTTTCTTGAGGCTTTCTTTAGCACTTAGAACTCTCGTGTATGGACTGTCTTCCAGAAACAAAGATTTAATAGTACTTCATAGAAAATAATTAAACGTTTTGGGAGAGAACATACCACCGGTGGTCTTGGGGTTATGGAATACCCCCAGCACCAGGGAGAATCGATTTCATTTTTTTGAAAATTACCTTGACAGTTTCTTTCGGGAAGGAGTCATCAAATGTCCACTTCTGGTGGGTATTCCATACCCCATACATAATTTTCAAACAAATGAAGTCGATTCTCCCTTGTGCTGGGGGGTGTTCCATACCCCCCAGACTACCCGGTATTACGTTCTCTAAAACGTTCAGTTCTTAGAACTCTCGTGTATGGAATGTCGTGTCAGAAAACAAAGATTACAGTACTTCATAGAAAATAATCAAACATTTTGTGAGGGAACATACCTCTGGGGGGTATGGAATACCCCCCCCCCCCAGCACAAGGGAGAATGACTTCATTTGTTTGAAAATTACTTTGACAGTTTCTCTCGCGAAAGAGTCATCAAATACCCACTTCTGGGGGGTATTCCATACCCCATACATAATTTTCAAACAAATGAAGTCGATCCTCCCTTGTGCTGGGGGGTATTCCATACCCCCCAGACCCCCGGGTGTTACGTTCTCCAAAATGTTCAGCTCTTAGAACTCTCGTGTATGGAAATATCGTGTCAGAAAACAAAGATTCAGTACTTCATAGGAAATAATCAAACATTTTGGGAGAGAACATACCACTGGGGGGTATGGAATACCCCCCAGCACAAGGGAGAATCGGCTTGATTTGTCTGAAAATTACCTTGACAGTTTCTTTCGGGAAGGAGTTATCAAATTTCCACTTCTGGGGGGGGGGGGGGAGTATTCCATAACCCATACATAATTTTCAAACAAATGAAGTCTATTCTCCCTTCCCTTGTGCCGGGGGTATTCCATACCCCCCAGACCCCCCGGTGAAGAATTAGTAGGTAACCTTCCCCCCCCCCTCCCCCCCCCTGTAAAAGCGTAATTAATCTGAGACAACTGTATTTTGTCTACCGACTGAAATACTGTACACTGTTCAGGCTGTTGTGCTAGATATTAAACTCCACCTAACGCGATGCTTTTTCCAGAAGACATGAAGACTGTAGTCTTTTATTTCCTTGCCCTGTACATCTCTAGTACTTATTGCATACCAAAATGCTACTGGCGCAGTGGACTTTGTAGCACATTGAAGTGTGTCGAATTCAACTCCACTTCCTTGAAGGAGGTAATCGGAACGATGTACCACGAGCACGACTACACCTACGATGACTACTTGGATTTCGATTTTGATATCGAATCGACCAGTCCAACATCCGGAACGACAACCACAACTGTCAAACCCCAAGTAAACGAGAACGTGCACTGTCTGCACTTGGAGGTAACCCACTCCGATCTCAACGACGTGGACAACTCCACATTAGGCGTACTGCATCCGCACGAATTTAAAAACATTCGCCTGTCGAGCGATAACATCAACAACATCGACGGGAACACGTTCGCAGAGTTCACCTTTTTAAAGACACTGTATTTGGACAATAATAAACTGACGCAAATTCGCTTGACCAACGGCCTGAAACATTTGGAATCATTGGATTTGAGTAACAACCAAATGACTCGGCTCAAAAGTGAGGACTTTCCCTCAGTCGACACGTTGAAGACGTTAACCTTAAGCTATAACTCTCTGGAAAGTATCGAAAAGGTTACCTGCCAATTTCCCATGCTGTTCCAGTTAAATTTAAATAACAACAAATTAAACAAACTCGACGGTTTCCGCTGCAATTATCTTCTCAAGTCCCTCAATTTGGCGATGAACGCAATTGGGGACGTTACCAAGGAGGCGTTTGCAAATTTAACCAAACTAGAAACGTTGAATCTCAACGACAATGGGATTCGTACCATTGAAAATGGTTCCTTTGCCGAACAGACAAACTTACACAGTCTTTATCTTCACAACAATCATCTCCAGAGCATTAATTCGGGCACGTTTCTGGGACTGCACGGTTTGAGGTACCTTTCGTTGGACGACAACAATATTACAGTAATTCAACCGAATGCCTTCGCCGATTTGGGGAAATTAACCAGCTTGACGCTTTTGGGAAATCGTCTACGGACGCTTCGTACCAACGCTTTCACCGGATTGGAGAGTGTGATCCAGCTCGATCTCAGCAGGATGTACATCGGCGAAATCGAGAAGGGCGCGTTTAAGGGGATGAATAATTTGCACGCGCTGGACTTGCACAGCAGCCGAGTGCACGAGATCAACCAAAAGGCGTTCGACGGTCTCGCCCAGCTGAAAAGTCTGAACTTGGAGGACAACAGCTTCTTCATCGACCCGTTCACGTTCAGCGGCCTGAAAGGCCTCGAGAGCTTGGATTTGAAGAAGAGCGAGGGGCACGGCGAGTATCTGCTGGACGCGGAATCATTCTCCGGCCTGGAAAGTCTGACCTCCCTCGACGTTTCCTACTTTAAGATCGAATTTGTGGCGGTGGGCGCGTTCAACGGTCTCGACAACTTGAAGAATCTCAACTTGAGCAACAACAACATCAAGCAGCTGGTGGCAGATGTGTTCATCGGCATGCCCAACTTGGAGGTGCTCGATTTGAGCAACAACCGGCTCCAGGTGATCTCTCCCAATTCGTTTTACGAACTGGATAATCTAATTTCTTTAAACATCAGCAATAACAATGTGTCCACTCTGAAGAAAGACACCTTTAAAGGTTTGAAAATGATCCGAACACTCGACTTGTCGCAGTTGTCCATTGGCGAAATTCATCCTGGGGCGTTTAGTGGGTTGGACCGTTTGGAAGTGCTGGACTTGCGCGGAAATGTAATCGCCCAATTAGAAGCTTTGTCTTTTACGAATTGCCCACGCTTGCTCGAGTTGCACTTGGAAGACAACGCGATCACGAAGATAAAACCGGGCGCGTTCGAGGGCCTATCTCTCGTGACCAGCTTTAACGTTTCGGGCAATCTGATCCCCAATTTCGAGAACGGCACCTTCGTGGGGCTGGAAAATTTGAAATCGCTGAATTTGTCGAGTTTGGGCTTGCAGAGCCTGGCACCTCGCGCGTTTACCGGATTGAGCAAGCTGGTCTCGTTAGATCTCTCGATGAATAACGTAACGACGCTGCGCGCTTCTACCTTTCAGAATTTGCCAAAGTTGCGTTTTTTGACCTTGCTATCGTGCGGGATCAGGGAGCTGGAGGCGAACGCGTTCGACGGCCTTAACGGTTTGGTCGGGCTCGAAATGAGGAACAACAGCATGCGACGTTTGCAAAAGAACGCGTTCAACTCGCTCGACGGGCTCACCTTTCTCAACTTGAGCTACTCGAACATTGAGGAATTGGAGCCCGGCGCGTTCGGCGGACTCGCCAATTTGCTATCGCTCGATTTGTTCGGCAACTCGATTCGGACGCTTCCGGATCAGGTCTTCGTCGGATTGAAACATCTGCTGCTGTTGGTATTAAATGATGGAATAACGTCGATCGGCAAACGCGCTTTTACCGGTCTCGATGGAGTTCTCACCTTCAAGATTAACCTCGCCAATCTTTCGCAGATCGAAACCGGCACCTTCCAGGCCATGAGTATGTTGAGGTACTTGACGATACAGAACACGCAGATCGGAACCCTACAACCGAAAGCCTTCGCCTACAACGTGTACACATTCAAGCTGTTTATGACAAACTGCACGGTTGACACGCTGGGACCTTACAGTTTCTCCAATGCGAACATGTTCAGATTTAACCAACGACCCTCCTCAAACGGGAAGTATTTCAATTTTACCAATTTCGGAATTAGAACAATCTCGCCCGACGCATTCAGCGGTTTGGAAGGTTACGCGAGTATCACCGAGTACTTCGTCGACTTTGCGCGTAATTATCTGACGGAAATAAAAAAGGGCGCCCTGAAAGGTCTCGATAAAGCCGCCGAGATGAGCTTCGCCAACAACAGCATTGGCTCTATCGAGCCAGGCTCGTTCTCGTCTCTCTCCTCGCTAAAAACTCTAACGCTATCCTTTAACGAGCTGTCACGTATAACACCGGGCACCTTCGAAGGTCTCGCCAAGCTGACGAGTCTTAATTTGGCGAACAACGAGCTGGGCCCTTTAGAGGAGAACTCGTTTACGTTCCTGCCTTCGTTGGAGAGCTTAAATTTGACGAGCAATCAGCTTACTACCCTCCCCTTGAATCTCTTCGCCTTCACCACGAGTTTGACCGATTTGTATTTGAGCAACAACTTTTTGTCCTCCTTGAGTCTCGGCGCGATTCCCTCGCTCAACAACTTAGAGCTGAACTACAACAACTTCGAACGGTTCGATCCGAACGCGCTTCTCTCGGTGCAAAACTTGAAGCGTCTCGCCCTGCGAGGCAACAGCCTGTCGGACCTAAACGAGACCGCCCTCCTGAACAGCGTCCATAACCTGGTAACGATCGACATTCGCGAGAACAACTTCGTGTGCACCTCGTTGACTCGCATGATTCGAGCGTTCGACAAGCACCGAGTCGAGTACGTCAGGGAGCCGAACGTTCCGGGCAACGCTCACTACGACGGCGTGAACTGTCTGGTAAATCACGGCAAGCAGCCGGCGATCGACGACTCGAAGTGGAACGGTTTTTTCGTATCGCTCAACGAAACCAATCGCAGACTCGGCAGGCTGATTAACGAAACAAACGAAAATCTCAACCTCGCCAACGTGACCAATTTAATGCAACAGCTGACCGATTTGCACAAGATAACGGAACACAATCGCAGCGTGCACTCCAAAAATCATCAGAAGCTGGCGCACGCGAAAAGCTCGATGAGCGTCTTTCAGATTTTGCTCGTGGTCGTCGTCGTCATAGTTTGTATCGGACAAATTGTCGGGATCACACGATATTTCTGTAACCGGCATAAGGCGAGTAGTGTAAACCATGCCCAATCGGAATTGCAACTGATTAATGCCGGATTGTAGCTTTTGTATGTAATGCGTTAATAAATTATATTGTTTTGTAATGTTTGCGCGTTTACAAGGTTCGATTTTTCCAAAATAATTCGCTGATACGACTGTTAACGAAGAGAACAATAGTGTAAATAATATGAAAAATGAGTTTCTTTAAAATTGAACTTGCGCGCGCCGCACCTTTTTACATGTTCAACAAATTTGAGGCAGATCGGTTCATAAATAAGAAAGTTACAACTGCACATGCGCAGAAGGATAATTCCACCGGTCTGAAAATTAATATGTGTCTTAGTTAGTTAGGAAGGATAAATCTTATGCCTCCCCTCCCCCCATACCTTGCACACCGTTCCACGTTTCAACTCGTATAAGGTCCTTCTAGCAGCCTGAAGTTACATTCGTTTTTTTTCAAGGACATTCGCTTTTGAGATAGTACCAACCTAAATGGCAAAACAAAAAAATTACTAAAAAAAGGGATCCAAGTTACCTTGGTTGTTTTTTTATTAAACGGTCTCCGAAAGTGGTGGCACAGTTACCTATTCTCATCCCCTGCCAGTGGTTTTTGAAAAAGTGGCCCAACGTTCAAAAAATTCGCCTCGGAAAGCTTGTAAATCGAAATTACATCTTATGCAAATTGAGGACGGGTTTTCTGTGGTCTGTGGAGGACAATTCGAGCGTGATAGCACAAAGGCTTTTTGGCGTTGTGGTGGCCCAAGGGACCACCTATAACCCCCCTGTATATCGTTTTTCCAAAAGTGCCCCACAAATTCCGACTTTAACACCAGGTTAGGTTTCGTCATCACCTTTGGTGTGATATTTGTTTCCAATATTCAAATGTCACAAAGGATGGAAGGAGGTACTGGGTTCGACGATTACTCCTATACAGGGTGTACATTTTTGTTGTTACGTAATCGATCGACAGCAATAGAAAAAATTCAAACGATTTCAAACAAAACTAAAATAAAACAAACAAAAGTGTACACCCTGTATATTTAAATTGGGGAGGTTCGCGGAATACATCGGGAGATTGGTTTACCCTCCTCATATATTATAATATTATAATAATGTTTGTTAATTAGGTGGTCTCTATTTGGTTATTTGCTTAATAAATTGAGATTCATAATCGCAGTAGCGAAAAATGTTTGTACAGTGTTGCATTTTACATCCATTTTTAACCTGTGTGAACTTGGCCCCCCAACTTTAGAAAGCAATAATTTTCGTGATTGAAATCGATTGCGCTTCGTTTGCGCACAATTGCATTTTGTTTGCGCGCTGCCGGTTTCAAAATTACGAAGGAATCAAATTTGGGGGGGGGTTACAAATTTGACATTTTTTTCTTCTGATCGTTTGCGCTTCGTTTGCGCATGTTTGCGCTACCAATACCTTCGTTTGCGCCCCCGTCGTTTTTGAGTTATTCCAAATACAAAATTCCATACTGGCCTCCCATTTTTCAAATTTGCCATTTTTTTCCGCTTAAGAAATAATTCTACCTAAGTATATAGTGAGGAACCCAAACCTATATTTCGTATGGGTTTCAACCCCTGAGCACCAGGGGGTATGGGATACCCACCAGGACAGGTTTAACGGTCGTAGTTGTACGGGTTAGGAATTGGACAAAAAAAATTCATCACCTCCCTGTACAAATTGTTGAAATTTGTTCTATGGTTCTAACCTTCAGATAAATTTTGGGAAATTTTAAGGTTATGTCAACCTTGTAGTGCCCCAAAAATGCTTCATGATAAAATCGTTGCCTAATCCGAGAACTTTGAACTTTGTACTTCTAAAACCGGGCGAAAAATGTTAAAGGCAAGTACGACGTGGGGAGGTAGATTTTCAGTGATAAACTTGTAGGGCACTGTCAGTTTGGTAACCGGAGGGGCGTCAGGTTTAGGCCGTGCCACAGTCGAGCGCTTCGTCAAACAGGGCGGAAAAGTCGTCCTGTGCGACTTGCCCGTAACTAAAGGCAGCGAGTTGGCCAAGGAGCTAGGCGAGGACACATGTATCTACGCCCCCGTGAATGTCACAAAGGAATCCGAGGTGCAATCCGCACTACAGATCGCCAAAGAGAAATTTGGCAGGTTGGATAATGTCGTAAACTGTGCAGGAATCGGCGTCGCGTTTAAGACGTACAACTTTAAAAAGAAGCAGGCGCACAACCTGGACGACTTCAGCAGGGTGCTGCAAGTGAACGCGATTGGTACTTTCAACGTAATACGACTGGCCGTAAGTTTGATCGACGAGAATCCACCAGACGAGAACGGTCAGAGGGGCGTCATAGTTAATACCGCCAGTATTGCGGCCTACGAGGGACAAATGGGACAAGCGGCCTACTCGGCCAGTAAAGGGGCAATCGTCGGAATGACCCTCCCCATCGCCAGAGATTTAGCTTCTCAGGGCATTCGAGTGTGCACGATCGCTCCAGGTAATGTCGACGTCTGCACTGCAATTCACTCAACAATCGTCTTCAGGTTTATTTAAAACTCCTCTGCTCGGAGATCTGCCCGAGAAGGTGACCACGTTTCTGGCGAAATCGATTCCGTTCCCACAGCGGCTCGGTGATCCGGACGAGTTTGCGAAATTGGCGCAAAGTATAATTGAGAATCCGATGTTGAATGGAGAGGTCATCCGGTTGGATGGAGCGCTGCGAATGCAACCATGAGTTTTAATCGAATAAAAGTGCCTTTTGTAGTTTATTTAAACTTGAATTTGTTGGTAATTAAGGGAATAACTTTGGGTTTGTGGTTCTGTTGATGAAATCCTCTTGGTCTTTTTCTTTCTTTGGTTTAATACATTTGAACCTACCTTTCATACACTTTTACTCTCCAATCTAGCTCGGGTAAAATGGTTTAAGAATTGGAAAGAAGTCCATAGATTTTTCTCCACTGATAACTTAAATGCAAAAATCTCAAAAATGGCTAATGCAAATGTCAACATTTTTTTTTTTTAAATCGATTATTCAATTTTTAAAAAATATACAGGGCGTTCTATTAAAAATGTCAAATTTTGAGATATTCATTTGTTTTTGACTTTACACATTTTCTAGCGATTTATGATAAACATTTTGTTTCTGCAACAACGTCGCACGTTGTTCTACTTCATGGTGTTCTTGAATATTCTCGGTTTTATCATATACAATGGTTTTATGTTACGTATTTCTGATAAGCTGCATTTATCTCCAATCATTCTTTGTGTCATGAATATACCTGAGACCAGTTGTATACAGATGTTACTGTCAGAGGTTGGAAGCCATATGAAATATAGGTTCCACACTATACAAGTGGAATTATTTTTTAAGGGTTCCGGTTCTGTGGATTCAGTAATTTTCGGTTCCTGTTCCAATTGTTTTCCCGGTTTTTCAGTTTTCCAACATAAGTAAATATAATAATTATTAAACAATATAAATATAGGGAATAATTAGGTTGTGCGCTGGTACACCATCCTGTTAAAACTGTAACCATTTCCAATAATACTACTTACACGATAAATATGCACGTTTTTTACGGACCATAATAAATTATTCAAGTTGATTTCTCTGAAACGCTTTGTATTAAAAATCTTTCAACGCTTTGTTGTAGAGTTCAAATAGTGGCAATGAGAAAGTATTTTTTTGTTTTTCTGTTCTGTTCAAGATAACATAATAAAAAATAAAAACAAAGTCGGCAAACTCCGGTTTTTCTGGCATATCTTCTGAATTTTCTTGTTTTTCTCAATTACCTTTTGAAGCATGCATAAATTATGGGTTTCTTGGTTTATGTTGCGGTTTCGCTATTGATTTCTTATTGAATAATTTTGTGGGCGACTCCTCTTCCAAAATCTACCAGTCAGTACAGAAGGAGTTGATCGCCTTTTCCCAAAAGCAACTAATGATAGCTTCTAAATGTTCAATTCCTGGAGGTATCCCCAAACGTGCTGTCTTCTCCCCAAAATGTTTAGAATGTGTAACCACCAAATTTTTCTTTTCTGGGGGATTTGCCAAATACGAAACTACGAGGGGGGGGGGGTTGTTATAAATTCAATGGTACAACTTAACAACTCAACTCGTCTTACTATTCGCGGCATAATTACACTGACCACAAATTAAACAATTGGTACTTTTCGATGTGTCGTGCTTTAATAAATGAGAATTTACATTTTTCTTACTATTTGTGGCACATCTAATTACATACAATGCACGTTCAATGCCGCTTTAATTTACGCTTATCATGAGTAGCGCAAATAAACACCGTTAACAAACCAAATGTTTGAGTTAATTGTAGCGTAATTACACTGATAGCAGGGTAGGAAGATATTCAAAGCGAAGAGTGGTAAAAATTGACGTACCTCCTAGTTTTTGTTGTCATTGTTTGGAAATATTATGCAATTTAATTATCCTTATTGTTGTTTGCGTAACTACAATGATTACATTTAAAATTCATGAAAGTAACGTGATAAAATTTAACGTTTAAACTATCCTTGCTCTTTAAAGTGTATAATTACATTGGTTTCAAATGACATTTTTCTACAGCCGTAAAAACTATACAATAAGTAATCAACTTTTGGGCATTGTAAATAAACAAAATGGCGGTCTTATAACCACTAATAGTAATTACAATGTGCTACCACCAGAGGCCTCACTGTTAATCGATGCAATCTTCACTCGTGAAGTGAAATAATAACAAAAAGGATAAAATGTTTTATTTCTTAATGTACATTTATCAGGTCTCATAAAAAACTATATAGACGTTTAACAATAATTTAAAATATTAATATGTTATTATAACATATTGTAAATATACATTTGGCACATGCGTACATGGATAACAGTCGAATCAGTAGGGTATCTCTTTTCAAAAAATATTTCAACAAATTACTTATTGTCATGCCCCTGTAACATCGAATATCATTCGAATCTTCCGACGATCGTTTTGACCCAACCCTTCGCGTTTACCGGTTGTAAATTACTCGAATTCTCCTTGGGCAAATCGTTCTCGTGCGATACGTTATAAGCGCCTTTGCTGACCAAAATTTTTCTTCTGCCCGTATGGAAATTGTGCTCGCTACTCACAGTCTCGCCGTTCTCTTTGGAATTGTCTAATAAATTATTGTTCGTTGTACTTAGTAATCGAGTCGGTTTGGTCGGGACGGGGGGCGGCGCCTTCGACGGACGTTTAACTTTCGGTTTGACCTCGACGTCCTCGTTTAGATTTTTTTCCAACAAGCGCTCGTAGTAGCTATCGGAATTTTGACTAGAATTGCAGTCCTGACTAGAATTCGCCCTGCTCTCCTCGAACTCCTTCTTGACCCGCTCGCCGTAGCTGAGTACCTCCGTCTCGCTGATCGATAGGTCCAGGTTCTCGCAGTGGCCCATCAGATCGTCGGTCAGGTCCGACTGGCTGAGACTCTGCGAGGATCTGAACAGCTTCTGCGGGTCGGCGTAGTCGGGATGCGCGATTCGCGCGCCTATGTTCTCCGAACGCTTGCCCAGGACGGTCGGCTTGCCCGTTCGCTTTTGCTCTTCGGAGATGATCGCGCGGAAACGTTGAACTAGACTGAAACGTATCGCTGATTTGCGGTATATTCGATGATCGGGATGTTCGCTGTCGTTCAGTTGAGATGAAAGATCACTGCAAAAAAAAAGAGACGTTTAGCGTTCAATTTGGGCGTGAAAACTTCCAATTCACAGCAAAATCAAAATAAACTTGAATAGGGCGATTATAAATTCGAGCAATCAATTATCAAAAGTGAATCGATGATTATTGATTATCAAATACTCGATTATTTTGTTTAATCAAAGGAAGATTGCGGCTCCTTGTATCTCAGCTGTTTCTAAAGATAGAAAATTGCGGTATTCGCGATCCTGTGCCACTTTTTTGTGAAATTAGTTCAAAAGCGATTCAGCGTCATAGTTGGCTTTGATTTATCTTGAACGAACTTCAATACATTTACCAGAGGGAGCTGTCAATTTATCACCTGTCAGTTACATGGTCATGTTCACAATTAAACTTCCCTTGCCAACTATGATGCTCAATTTTTTGAATTGTTCGATAGAAAAAACTGCCGATTTTAGATATTTTACGTAGCGTCCAGTGTCGTATTCAAAAAAATGTTGGACCACCGTTTCTGAGATTTTATCCAAAGTTGGTATTTTTTAAATGCAACACCCTGTATATCTTAACGTCTTGATTACATTGATGTACCTCAACCTATATATTTTTTATATAATTATACTTATATTAAATCTATATTTTTAGTTACCATGGATACAATAAACAATACAAAATCTCCATGAAACCATGGCCTACTATTTAAAAACTGTAAGAAATAAGGTCTTCATGTAAAGTTTAAAAAAAACGTGATCCATCAATGTAATCAGGAAAAAGAATTAAAAACAATTGTTGACGGAAAGGGTGTTGCGTATAAAAAATACAAACTTTTAGTCAAAACTCGGAAAAAATGGTCCAAACATTTTTTGAGTATATCTACGCCACTGGATTTTACGTAAAATATCTCAAATAGGTAGTTATATTACATGGGTAATAACTAATAAGATACGATAGTCCCAGTCAAACTTTTCGCTTTCACCCTGTATCTCAAGTATCTCGAGTATCTCGCAAGTCTTATCTTTAACAACAGTTGAGATACTTACACTTTTATTACCATTATGTCTGCCTATATCCGGTAGTTATTGAGTTATTGGCATTTTTTGAAAGAAATATTCTTATTTTTCATTAGTAGTAGGCTTTGGAAACAATCGTTTTATTTGGAATGTCCTTCGAATCATATTCAACATTCTGTTCTTTTTGATCTATTTGATATTAATGCGAATAACTCAAAAAGGGATGCATTGAAAAATAAAATTGACTCTGCTGGAAACCACATGCTCTTTTTTGAACAAAAAAAATAGATGCGCTTTTTTAAAATCTTTACCATTCCTTTTTGCGTATTTTCCATTTTCCATAGCATCCACTTTCTCTGTCCGTCCGTCCGAGGTCTTAATAACTACTCCTACAATTTTCAATATATTTAGTTCGCTCTTTTTGAATTGAGTAGCTTATAAGCTCTGGCACCTGAGCTACGAAAAATCTTGACGATTAATGTGCGCATCAACTGTTTTATTTATCAAGATATCTTTTTGAAATTTTCATCAGAGATGCTTCTGTTAAAAGCAAACATATCTCATATTGTAAACATTAGATTGCAACTTCCTTATTCATGAAGATATTTCTTTGAAACTGTAACCACAGACGCTTCTAGTAAAAACAAACAAATCGCATACAGCATAAATTAAATCTGCGCGAACTGCTCAACGTCAACTTTCTTATTTATGGAGGTATATCTTCGAAATTTTAACCACAGATGCCTCTTCTAGTAAAGAAAAACATAGGGCACATAGCATAATCTTCAACATGCTCTTAAACGACATAACATATAAGTCTTCAAAGGATTTCAAATGTGCACAGTGTGATTATGCAATGAACGAGAAATCATCTCACAATACTTTCAAATATTTAAAAAGTCTCTCGCTCAATGTAATTTTGCAACAAATTTTCAACATATTCTGAAACGACATCTCTTAAGGCGCAAGTCTTGAAAGAATTTAAAAGATGCACAGTGTGATTTTGTAACACATCACCACTATGTCCTGAAACTGCACCGCTTAGCTCACAAAGGCTCAAACGATTTAAAATGTGCGCACTGTAATCGAATTATATGGAAATGTTAGGCAATGTCAATGTACTCATGTACAGGGTGTTTCAAAAAAAAGGTTGAATATTTTATCCACTTGTCATGACAAGAACCCAAAAGTCTTAATAATCATAGGCCCGCAAATTAAGTGTTTCAGTAGATTTTGTATTGCCTTTAACAAATTACTTTATTAAAAACAACCGAACAGTGCTGTAACGTAAAATACCTACATTGACATTGCCTAACATTTCCGTATAATATGCCATTACAGAGTGCACATTTTAAATGCTCTGAGACTTTGTGGGTTAAGAGATGTCGATCGGAAATAACCCATACCTATCACTATAATTTGACAGTTGTTCTCATTGGTTCTCGTATTTACTTTTATAACAATCTTCTTTATATTTTATTCGATATTTTATTAGTTATTTTGCTATTCGGGTCGGAGAGAAAAGCATAGATCATGATGATGCATGATTAGGGTTTTGTGCGCGTGTGCACCATCCTGTTGAAACCAACAGTTTCCAACTATTAAGTAATAAAAAATGCTACTAAATAGTAAATACAGTATGGACTTTCTTTGAGGACCTTATAAAAAATAAAGTTGATGATTTCTCTGAAACGAAACGTATATAAAATCTCTCAACTGTGTTTTGTAGAGCTCAAGAACTATTTTCTATTTTTTTTTCTCTGTTCAAATAACATCAGAGAAAACTAAAAACCAAATCGGCATATTTCAGTTTTTTTTATCTTCGAAAGTAATACGAATTTTCTAGTTTTCTTTACAAAATGATAATAACTCTTTAATTGCACAACTTTTCCCTAATTTAACTATCCTCGTGTCTTCTTTGGTTTGGAGATCCCCATGATAGAGATCCTTATTTTGAACACAGTGTATAAAGGGTCAGCTCCCCCTTTCCTGATGACTCATGGACGAATGCGATCACGTTTTTGGGTTATGGTGTGAACAGCGAAGCGGACCGACGGACGTTCAACCTTTTGACGTTAGTGATAACACGATTTGCGCTACTTAATGGAATAGTTGATAATCAATTAATCAAACAGATGATAGTAAAATAATCGACGGTCGATTATTAAAAACAAAAGAATAATTGATTGCCCGATTATTTGTATAAAGATGAAAACGGAATTAAGGTCCACCCACACCGACGCGGGAATGCGACAAGGGGAACGGACGCGAGATATGCCGCATATCCTGCGTCCGTCCCGCTCCCGTATTCCCGCGTCGGTTTGAGTGGACCTTTATTGATTAATAATCGATTTTTGTTATACACACAAAAACACTTTCACTCGACCATACCTAACTTGACTGTCGTCTAGAATTACTTTTTCTGTAAACGGAAGAACGCAATTTGAACATGATTATCACGGGAGAAAAAAACTGCTACATACCTCTCTTGCAGATCTTCGTTTTCGACGTCCGGTTTGGAATTCGACAGAGCCTCGTCGGCGTTCACGATCTTACAGTCGAGCTGATCGTTCAATTGGAAATCTCTCGGTAACGAGTCGGCCTTGCTCGGCAGCTCGTCGCCGCTCTTCGTCCACGGCTCGCAATCCCTCGCGCCGCGACGCTGACGCGTCATCAGCTTGTGAAACTCCTCGTTCTGCATCAGGAGATCGGAGACGACCTTCTCGAGCGTGTTCGAAATTTCCGTCTCGGTCTCGCATTCGAGCGAGCTCTCCAGTATGTCCTCGCACTTGTCTTGCGACTCGCAAATTTCCGAATCGGAGAGGTCCGTGTAGAACTTGGCGGTCGTGTAGTCTTTCGACTTTTTAATTTTGGTGATTCGCTTCGGCAACGTTTTGCTCGTGTACTGATTGACGAAGCCCGGCTCGGATTTCCGCCTCCAGCTCGTCAGCGACACGAAGGAGCGGTCGGAGGAGGCCGCCCGTCTGCTCGAAAAATCGCGGGTCTTTCGTACGCGGCTGCGCCTTTCCAAATACTGTGGGGTGGAGTGTTGCTTAAGCGGCGAGGTGTCTTCTGAAACTGATACGAGATTAGTTGGTTACCTTCGGAAACGCACGCCGCTTACTTTCGGATGCGTTCTGCCCTAGCTGCATGACGAGCTGTCTTGCGTGACTGGGAATCTCGGCACTGTAATTTTCAAGGATGACGCGTTTGAGCTGGAGGGTCCATTCGCGTTTGTGCTGGGGGGATCGTGCTCGTAACGTGCACTGCTGTCGGGGGTTATCGAAGGGTAAGATGTGAAAGCTCAAGGGCTCCCCCCTCACCTGCTCCACCAGCATGAGGTTCGAACACTAAAATCGATAGCCATTACCTACAGTGTGCGTCAAAAAACCGCGCTTACCATAATGTGCGATTTGTAAGCCAAGTAACCTTCCTGCCTACTCTTCGCGATGAGCAATACTTTATCGAATAAAAAGATATGTCTGCGCCCTCTAGCGCCACCAACTCTAAACGTCCCTTCCGCAATAAGTTCTCCAAGTGCCGTGAGATCAGGCCCGTTCCATCCGTAAAGCTGCGACTGTATTTCTTGCACACGTACCGCATGTTCATGTTTGCGCTTCATCGTGTTGATATGTGAAGCGACTCCGGTCATCGTCGCCAGGGCCAAATCCACCGTCGGTTGGTGGGGATGATCGCACTGCTTCGATAGTCGCTGAAGCAGGAGATGATACTTCAATATTCGCTGCACTGGTTTCAGTAAATAAGATCCTAAAGGTAAAGCGTGTCGTAAAGCTAACTGTCGCTCCCTGAACAGGGGGGCCATCTTCTCGTCCCCCGTCAGCTCCGTAAGTACCATCATCGTGCGCGGATAATTCGTGCAGTAGTGCGTGTAGACGGAGAAGCCAGCGTCGTTGTGCAGGAAGGCGTTCGCCGTCAGGCTCGGATCGCAGTTGGTCTTTTGCAGTTCTTCTAGGAATGATCGATTGAATAAATAAATTTCTTCTAAATTACTAAAGAGATCTTGAAGATATGGTTGGAGGGGGCAGTCGGGATCTGTCCGCCAGGGATCTAGATAGCCCTGCAAGAGACAAAAATACAATGGGAATATCCAATGAAAATTGTGTAGCACTCCTCACTCATTCGCTAAGATTCCCTATACACCCCTAAATTGAACTTGTCCGTCCCCAAAACGCTAAATCAAAATTTTGTTGCTCATACCTTATTAAATGAATATGTTTTATACAAAGAAGGACATTTCCCATTTTCCCAGCTTTCAAGACCATTAGAGAGAACGTTACCAATTGACATTCCTGATTCAAAGTCCGCTTCGATTTGTGCTCTTATTTAAATTCTTACTGTAATGTTTAGGTATTTCGACATTCTTACGCCATCTAGGTATTCACGTTGTAATCCACTAGTTTAGGTGTAAGATGTTCCTGTAGTATGTTTGTTCCAATAGTTCTTTGTTTTGACGTCCGAGGTCGTGCAGAGTTCTCTTTAATTCTTATCGGCACACGCACTTCTTTGTACAAAACTAGATTCTATGCAATTACTCGACAATTTTTGTCTGCCTTTTTGGGATTTATTGTGGCTGTATAAGGTTTTCTCGTGTTAATTTGCTTTCGGCACTTCGCCGACGCATTTGCGGATATATTTTACAAGTTCGGTATGTGCCAAAAACTACGCATTACCTTTTTGAATAATGATATTTAAGCTTCTTACTTCTGGCATCTCAACGTGTGGGACCCTTAGTTCTAATTTGTTCTGATTTCCAGCGATTTCTGTTAAATCACCCAGTCTTATCGGGTTCCTACGATTTTTCTTCGCGTTTTTAGACGTGGTGAACTGATGCAGGACCTGGAATGTTTGAAATCTGACCTCGAATCCCGAATTGAACAAACAACAATTTGAAATTCTCAAGTAACTTCTAGCTCATTAACACAAAGTAGTTCGTAGATTAGTTCGGGTTTATGCAGTCGGTTAACTTCGAATTTGAAAGTATGGTCCATGTCAAAAATGAGAAAATCAAGAAATCGGTGAAAATCAGAACAAATTAGAAGTCAAGGCAAATTAGATTTGAGAGAATTAAAACTTGGACCTAAAAATCATTATTCAAAGTCAAAAAGGTAATGCGTAATTTTTGGTACATACCAAAAACGGCCTTAGAACTTGTAAAATATATCCGCAAATGCGTCAGCCAAGTGTCGAAAACAGAATAACAAGAGAAAAATTTCACTAAACTCTTACAGTCACAATAAATCCCTAAAAGGCCAACAAAAAACGGTCAAGTAGGTACGTTCTTACGAGTATAGCACAAATTCTGGTCTTGCAAGACTTCGGGCGGCAAAACAAAGAACTATTGTAATAAGAAATCTATAACACACACCATTTACTACAGTAACAACTTAAATCTAAACTAGTGGATTACAAAACAAATATCTAGATGGCGTAAGAATAACGAAATACCTAAACATTAAAGTAAGAGCACAAATCGAAGGTTACTTAAGCGGAATTTAAATCAGGAATCGGTATCAATCGGTAAAAAAATAACGTTACAAAAATTTCAACCAAATCTGTCTGCTCCTCACAAACTTATTCGGCGATTTTTTCTCAAAGAGGCGTTTGCCATTTGCGAATCGCTTCCCTAGCTCTTGAGGTCATTTAAGGGTACAAATTTCAACCAAATCGGGCGGGTAGTTTCGGGTTTTTGGGGCCGATATGTCTAAATTAAATATCAATCGCGAGGATTTCAATAACCAGCCAAGTTTTAAAAAATGAAGGGATCTAATGTGCATATTTTTGCATATTCATTGCGATATATGTTGTGTATGCATTCGTTATCTGAATTACGCAGATTCTGTAGAGATGGCGCTAACAGTTTAAGGCATTTAAATCGTTATTTAACGGTGTAGTTTGAAGGTAAATTATCTAATCCCAACAGAAAAAAAGAATCCTTAGTTCATCCACCCAATTAAAACAATGGGTGATTCACGTGCAAGGTTCTACCTGGCTTAGAACTGAAGGACGTATACCTGCGCGATATCACGAAATCGTGACTATTACTTGAGAGGTATGGCGAGGGGGGCCGAGGGGGAATAGTAGGAAATAAATTCTTGACGAGACTGACGTAGCGGTTTCCTAGAAGGCAAAAATCGTAGCTGTGGAAGGAAGACCAATTGAACTAAATGAATGGGCGAATGAATCACAAATTAAAAAAGAAAGGTCACGGTTTTTGTCATCTTCGAGCGCAAATTTCCATTCATGCAACGAGAGGATGTGGTCGCGAGTGTCGACAGTGTTTTTATTATTAAAAAAAAATCATTACCTCGATAACTTCCCGCAAATCCGACACGTAAATCGTCTCCGTGTCCATAACCTCCTGCAGGACGCATTGCTCGGGGCTCATCGTGGGCTGCTCCGCAATTCCACTATCCGCCGAACCTGGAAAGATTAATTAGAAAAAATGTAGGTTACTCGAATTGATGCGAATTTACATAATATCGTTCGCGTCTCTCGCACAGAGGAAATTTACTAGCGCGACGATAAGAAAATTCTACTATTTACATTCGACTTTGTTACACGCCCCCCTAAAAACTTAACATGCACTTTTTTTTAACAAAAATCGGTGTTGAAATTTGATAAATTGATACGGAACGTGACGAGAAGTGTTGCATAATCGATTTCATTGCTCGAATTATTCACGCTTCACGGACCGTATTAGAAAAATTCGAACGCCCAAAAACCTTTCCCCTTTTAGGCGGGTGGGGGGGGGGGAAATATCGATAAACCCAACACGGGCCTCGCGTGAAAGTTGGGACAGTCTTTCTAAATTCAAAAATATTCCTATTCTTTCTGTTGATGACTATTAAGGTCTCGGCAACAGATCAGTTAATTTTTAAAGCCTCGAAACGCCTTTAGAGCATTTTTTGGGACTTTTGGACTGTTTTTGAAAGTTCGTCTTAAAGGTCCTTCAAGAATATTAAACACTCTTACAGATCAATAGTTTATTAATTGTTCTTAAAAGCTCTCAATGTTTCTTAAGGACCTTTAACGACTACTACCAAAGATCATACTACGGACGAATAATATAGTTATTTATTAGATATTTATTAGATAAAACGATAAAGGGATATTTTCACCACTCAGTGAGTTGACTTTCACGAGATGGTTAGTTTCCCTTTGTCGTCGTGTATAATACAAAACTCTAATTTATGACAGAAGCTTCTGGCAATTCTGAATTTAGTTTAGACGTCAAAAATAAGCTTAGGTCCTGCCGTCGCGGTCATTTCTATAGAAACATATGTTCTGAACGCCATTTCATATCGTGCTCCGCGTCCCATTCGAAATAAAAATGACAGATGTCATTAGATTAACCCCCCAGACTCTACACCCCCGTACAAAATTCTCCCTCAAAACATTCAGGCGTGATAGTATGAAATTCCCCTCAGTGGGACAAGGTTTAATGACTGCCATAATGGCAGAAAAAGGAATCATTTCGTGGGTGAAAGCAGCACCGTTGGGGGGGGGGGGGCCTAGCTACCGAGATGTAATACCCCCCTCCCCCGCGCAGAAGAATATTTAATGACTTTCTTCATAACTGTCGTGAGAGTGCTGAAGGACTTTTGGGGGGAAAAAAGATCGCTGAGCCGGCAACTTATAAACCTGAGGAGGGGGGTGTAAAAAGATTGGATGATCCTCCCTTGAAAATTATCATGAGAATCAGGTTCTGGTCGGAGTCGGCGCTGCTGTGACATCTCAAGCTCAAGATCAAGCTGTAGCCTTCAGCTCGGAACTTCTTTTTGGGGTACAATCCTCGTCGCCGAACTTCTTGCGCATCGTGGACCTTTCGGTCGGCAAGTGAATTGTCGATGTTTTCCTCATGGGCAATAAAATTAATCCTTGGCAGGCGCGTACAGAACTGAAACATTTGCGATGCATCAGGACAACAACCTCATCCACACATGGAGTAAACATCGGGTGCATTTAGGCCACGCCCACTCCGCAAGGACTTTAAATTGGAAGACGTCAGTAGGCGCAAAAAATGAAATTGGACCAAATGGAGTTTATGCTAAGGTCGACAATCACTACTAATTTGTAACCTCGTCCGAAATAATGGTCATTATACTCTAATTACCTTGACTTCCTGTCGGTTCTGGATCACTATCCAAACTCTCGGCGGACGCCAAATAAGCGGAACTTTGCTGGTGATGGCCGCCGCTGCTGCTCGACGAGCACGAGCCCAAACTCGTCAGGGAAACGGGCCTGGACACCTCCGAGGACGTTGTGCTATTCGTTCCACTTTCACTGGGCACCTACAAAAAATTACGATTTATTTGAAACGTAGCGGACGTAAGAAAATCACCGACCTGGAGGAGTTTTAAATTTTTGCGTCCCACCGGCGTACGCGACGCAATTCCCGAGGGCGACGTGTGCAAATAACTCCCCAAAGGTTTGGGCACTTCACTAACATCTATTGCACTTAAACTATCACAAACACTGGAAGAGGCCGTCAAATCCGGAACACCGCCGCGATACAAGAAGCTCTGCCTCGACGTGCAGAAGCTCTTGGAGCTCCTCAAAGTCTTTGGCTTCGTCACCAGCTCGACGTCTGGAAGGTTGGACAGCATTTTTTGCACGTTCGTCGAGATAATGTCCTCGTGCGACTTTTCGGGCGATATCCGCGTCCGTGAGTAAGTACGATTGAGCTTCTTGAGACTCTCCTCGCTGCTGAAGTTCTTATTGAGATCCTCGTCTGGAACATTCGCCAGAATCTTTTGCACGTTGTGCGAGAGATTCGCGAAATTGTTCGCTTGCAACGTGCGTTTCGGACAACTATCCTCAGTGTCGCTCGTTCTGCTTCCCTCCCAGATCGCGTCGATCGCTCCCATAATACTGGGCATCAAATCGGTGGACGACCCTGTAAACAGAGACCGGCGTTAGATAAAGAGCAAAGTCGACGCCTCGGCTGATCATCACCGTGATTAAATCGCCTGCGACTGGCGTTCATCTTGTAGTTACGTAAAAATGGCGCACAACACAATAAAGCAAAACGGAGCGCCTGCACATAACACACATGCTTTACAACGAACGGGTGAATATCAACTGAGGCCAGGCTAGTAGTTGAATACTTAATGGAAGTTAGTCATGTATGAATCACTTATCATCAATTCCAATGCCGTCCAGCGTATTACAGCAGCGGCAGCGCGGCGTTTGTGTTTTAATGGACCCCGATTCGATAATAACCCGATGAACTTACGACGTAAAAATAGATCAGAAGAGCGATTAACTACCGGGGAGTAATTAAAAGTGATTTACGGCAAAGGCGAGATACGGGGCGCTGTCGACTATTTTATAGACAAAAAACGGAACTCGTTACTACGTACTTGAACTCAAATTCCTGTCATGTCATTTTAGAAGAAAGAAATTCTTGAACATGATCACCACAAATATTGATGCTTGTAAATGTTTGGAAATGAGAACGTACCACCGAGGGCTGTGGGGGTGTCATGGAAACCCCCCCCCCCCAGGAAAATGAGCTTGACAATTTTCACGGGACGATCATCATATCTTCGGCTACAATACCCCCAAGACCCCACGAGTTCTGCCCCTGAAATATTTAGAAGAATTCCCATGCTCATAAATTTTGGACCTCAAATTGCCCTTTTTGTCAGCTGTTTTCGGGGGAGGGTGGTACAATCTCCGAATCAGGGGAGGGGGGAGCCCTAGCATGTTTATTATTTTCTAGGGAGTAATTTGTCTTTTCCGAGGGATAACTTGTTTACGGAAGTCGTACGAACTGAACGTTTTGAGAATTAAGCACAGGTGGTCTTAGAGAGGGGGGGGGGGGGTATAGAAGAATTACCTTATCCCTAAAATTACCACGACAATTGCATTTCGGAAAGAGTAATAAATCTTCGTTTTCCCGGGGGGGGGATTCATTCCACACCCCCGTTACTGCGTTCTAGCCCAAAGGATCTAAAAAATTCAACTATTTTCTAGGGCGTAATTTTTCTTTTTTGTAAGCTACTTATTTGCCAAAGTTCTAAGAACTGAAAGTTGTGAGTGTGCCGTCGGGGGGGGGAAGTATCGAATACCCCAGCACAAGAAGAATGCAGTACCTTTTCCCACTACCATCACATTATTCACAAATGCTTTCGGGAAAGGGTACATTCTTCCTTTTCCTGGGGGATTCCATACTCCCCCCCCCCCCCCCGGGCACTGCGTTCTAGCTTGATTGTAATTTTCTAGGAAGTTATTTTTCTCTTCTGGAAGATATTTATTTACGAAAATCAATTGCCCTTTTCCCAAAAACGACCACGACGGTTGCTTTAGAACGGGTAATTAAAATCTACTTTCCCATGTGGGGGGGGGGGGGGGAAATTCCATACCTCNGTAAAATAGGTAGGTTTTTGAAAATTTGTACTTAGGAGTTACTCTGAAGGCCGAACCGATGTAAAATATTTTCAAAATGGCCGCACTTCCGGAAACACCGGAAGTAGATAGTAACTTCGTTATTTTAAATGGCAACCCCTATTTTTTATTGCATTTTTGGATTCTACGTGAAATTTCAGTTCTTTTGATACCCATATGTCGATATCTGCCATTTATGATTTTTAAGTTATTTTGACTTTAAGAAAAAAAATGGCGGATGCAGATGGTACCTTGATAATTGATTACTTGAAAACGGTTATAGTCATGGCAACCTTTTTTATCAGTGCATAGAGAATGAATAGAGCTTTCTTTTAGTGTACTTAAAAAAAAGTTAAGTTGCGTACAACCGCACCTATGGAGATCCAAATTGAAGAAACTTCAAAGTCCATAAACTCAGTTTTTTTAAATGGAATGACCATGTTCTTAATATTGCATGAGATAGAGAATCGAAATTGGCATATTTTGATATTACATGTTCCTATAGCTATCTTTAACAGTTTCTGATTTATTCCCATTTCATTGGATTGATCTCGGAATTGATGTCATTTTTTTTCGCATTTTCTTTTTAGTAGATGGCCATGATTTTATAACAATCGAATTTTAAACAAATCAAGGAATGGAGTCTTTAATACCATTGATTCTAGTTCTAGTCTAAATAATTCATTAATAAATAACTCATTTATTAAGGATATAGGACGGAAAATTTTTGAAAAATTTGTTAATCTTGCATTTGCAATTCAATTCATTTTCTTAAATATTCTCTTGTAGAGCTTTGTATCACTTGTGCTTCAACCGTTTGTAGTGCATTAGGGGAACAAAATTTCCAAAATTCATACAATTTCGTTCCAGTTTTAGAATGAATGTACGGAAAGCACGCGCCGCGATTCTGCCCATTTCACCATAAATAACAATTAAATTCCAAAATAGGTGAAACCACTGTGAGTCATTTTTCGATTTTTGAAAAACTTATGTTAACCTATAACAGTGGGTGATGGATTAGTGTCACTAGATTTGTTTAAAATTCAATTGTTATAGAATCATGGCCGACTACTAAAAAGAAAATCCGAAAAAAATAGTGTCAATTCAATAAAATGGGAATAAGTGAGAAACTGTTAAAGATAGCTATAGGAACATGTAATATCAAAATATGCCAATTTCGATTCTCTATCTCATTGCAATATTAAGAAACAAGGTTATTCCCATTTAAAAATGATATAGATTTGAGTTTCTTTAAATTTGGATTCTCCATAGGTGCTTGCTATACGCAATTAACTTTTTTTTTAAGTGCACTAAAAGAAAGCCCTATTCATTCTCTATGCACTGATAAAAATAGGTTGCCATGACTACAACCGTTTTCAAGTAATCAATTATCAAGGTACTATCTGCATCCGCCATTTTTTTTCTTAAAGTCAAAATAACTTAAAAACCATAAATGGTAGATATTGACATATGGGTATCAAAAGAAGTGAAATTTCACGTAGAATCCAAAAATGCAATAAAAAATAGGGGTTGCCATTTAAAATAACGAAGTTACTATCTACTTCCGGTGTTTCCGGAAGTGCGGCCATTTTGAAAATATTTTACATAGATTCGGCCTTCAGAGTAACTCCTAAGTACAAATTTTCAAAAACCTACTTATTTTACTTTCCCAGAACCTTTTAACTAAAGCTCCCAAAAAAACACCCTGTATACAGTGTGGTGCAACGTTTTTCACAGAAATAATGATAAATTGTTTTGCATTTACATTGCATGGTCAATGATGCGACTAGCAATTCATTCATAGGGAGAGGAATGCATGTGTTCCACTTTCTCCTTTGCAAAACTTAACCCGTCGTTTGGCATTTTTTTTTAAATAATGAATTTGTCGTTTCCTTCTGCTTAGAACCCCTACGTAGAGGTAAAGGAAGAATTGCTTACATGTTTACTGTGCAGCACCAGAAGCACATTCACCACCTTCGCAAAAAGCAACGGCGACTGGCAAAAGTGACATCCGTCGGGTGACCACTTCTGCAGAAGTGGGGAACATGTCACTTACTTACCTTCAGTACAAACTCGCTGTGACCGTGTCTAAATCGAACGGATAGAAAAATAAACAACTACCCACGAAAGAATCCTCCACTTTCCAATCAAAGAGACCGAGAGATAACGGCATGAATTATTAATCCGGTTATCGCGACCATATGGTTTCAAAATTCGGATCAATGTCAACCGCTCAATTTTTGATCGCGCCACCTGTCGGGATTTTCCCTTAGATTTTCATATGTTTTCGATTACTGGTATCGTCGATCAAAGTCGACCGTTTGTGTTGGCGAAGAATGCAGTCGATTGTATAAAGAATGCACGTGCCGCGATGGCGCCTGAATGCATCGAGGTCATTGCTTTTAAATGTCGGTTTTCTTTAATGAGCGTTTAATTATGCCAATGCAAACATGGGGGATCGTCAACGGTTTTATCTCGACTGCCACTTCGAGCGATCTAAAAACCCGTTTGTTTTCGATCGGGCGAAAAATGCGAAAAATTTAAACGCGATGAGTCAGCTTTCCCTGACCTGGACACGAAATGAAATTCGCCGACCACTGACCCTACAAGAAGCGACCGATCTCTTAGAAAAACATCTCAGTTAGGATCGCTACTCAAGGTTGATGCAATGGTAGTTGCAGGAACGTGTCATAGGTTATCGAAAATTTGGAAGAGAAGAATTCGATAATCTCCAGTCATTTCCTCTCGAAAAATTCCTCGACTGAACAAATATTTAAGTTTCGTCGTCACCCCCTTCGGTGACATTAACAGGCGGGGGGGTGTCAATTTTTGATTTATGTCATTGTGGCAAGTTAATTTCGGTCGCATCCAGTAATCCGCTTCGGTCACGTAGCGCACGTAAAAAATTTATGATCCATCACGCAGCCGGTTGCATTCCATGAGCTCTTGGAGATAATCATATATATAAGAGAATATATGGAGATAATGCGACAATAACGACCATTATACATTCGAGCGAACAGTTTTGTAATAGTCGTCGGTCAATCAAATGATTTACTGAATTTCCGCTTTCGACCCACACAGTTTGGCTATTGTACTTTTCGAAAGGAATTTCTCGATAATCTTCCTCGAATTATTCACTGCGCCATCGTTTATTTATTCAATCAGTTCCGTTTAGAGCGATTAATCATCGATTTATTTATTTATTTAACCTGCCCGTGACCAAACTATTCGAAAAGTGAGGTTAGGTTGGGTACTTTTTCAAAAGTCGACGAGAAGAAGCAGAAATGATTCAAAATGTTATCGGATGGCTGCGACCGCAGGCGACAGAAAGTCATCAGATTGTATTAAAACCGCGAAACCGCAATAAAATATAAGTACGACGTCAAATAAAAACGATACGGAAATGATTTAATTATTGCCGGCAAAGTCATTTGCAGACGACCTACATTAACCTATCGATTATTGAGATTATCCTAAAATTAAAGTCGGCGAAAACGCCACTTTCTCCCGATGAACGATGGCGATTGCACAAAAAATACCGGTAGCTGGCGCCAGCGCCGCAGTGCTCGAGGATAAAATTGCGCTACCCTATAATTTCTATTATATACTTCTTACCAACTTCATTGCGGTATTCAGCAACTAAAGGTCAAACGAGTAAAAAAAAAACAAAAATCCGAACCCGTTTTTGAAACGGCGCAGGGGGGGGGGGGTTAAAGTAACACCACCGTACGTCTTCCATGGACTTTTCACGAAAATTAGCTTGTGAGTATTATTGACAATACGTTTTTTTGTGGAATAATGTAGCATCGAGGGGTCTGAGGGGCACGGAATCCCCCCCCCTCCCGCTCCCGGAATCGTTTATTTTTGAGTAATCTAAAGGTAATTCTAAGTTCCATACGTGTCTTGGTTCGACGTTGATTAAAGCCTTCCTTCACTCGTTGGAAAGGTTCCTTAACGCGTGTAGAATACGTTGGTCCTGTAGAGGTGACTAGAC